ATTTTTTTTTTTATTTTATTATTATTATTATTATTATTATTATTATTATTATTATTATTATTTTATTATTATTATTATTATTATTATTATTATTATTATTATTATTATTATTATTATTATTATTATTATTATTATTATTATTATTATTATTATTATTATTATTATTATTATTATTATTATTATTATTATTATTATTATTATTATTATTATTATTATTATTATTATTTTATTATTATTATTATTATTATTATTATTATTATTTTTTTTTTTTTTTTTTTTATTATTATTATTATTATTATTATTATTATTATTATTATTATTATTATTATTATTATTATTATTATTATTATTATTATTATTATTATTATTATTTATTATTATTATTATTATTATTATTATTATTATTATTATGTACTACTGACTAGACACAATCAAAGGCGGCGTGGACCTCGTGCTCTGCAGATTTTTTTTTTTTTTTTTTCGTTTAATGTATAATTTGTTTAAAAAATGTTACTCACATTTTATTTTTATATACTTGTTAATCAAACTAAAGTTCATAACTTAATAAATATATGAATATCAATAAAGAAATACTCTAAGTTAGCAACAAAGAATATTAGGAAAAGAAATTTCGCTAGTTCTCAATAATCTCTTACTGAATTTTTTCTTAATTTATCCTTTTAAAAAAATCAATCATCATATGAAGAGTGACGGTGGTGAGGACACTTGATCCCCGCATTTTTGTTGCCCATCTTCTTCAACTTAAACCAAATTTCAATAGAGAAATTAAAGAGGTAGCGCACATAGATCTTTAAAGATTTCATACTTATTTTCTTTAACTTTTTTATTTGAAAAATTTAATGATAGGATGGATTTGACATGGTGAACATCTAATTATAATGTGTATTATTGAATGATTAAATTTGTGAATTACATAAAAATTTACTACCACAAATATTATAAATATTTAAAATTATTATTTCCTAATCCCTTCAAATATTCTTAAGGTCGGGTATTTAAATATGATTTTTTGTTCAGCTTTTGAGCTCAATATACATATATGAAGGAGAGAAAAAATGAGAGAGAAAGAACTCAACTTTCCTTATAAATTCAAGTTTTTAATGATTTTTGAGAATTTTTTAAAATAAAAAAAAATACACTGTCTAAAGCACGAGGTGCACTCAACAAGTGCGCCATCCCTACCAACTATATTTTTAGTTTCTTTTTTTTTTTTTGTATTTTTTTTTCTTTCACTCTCCTATTATTTTTGTTGGCACGAACAAAATACTCATCAATAAATTTACTAAGCTAGCTCTAAGAGTATCCACAGCTATTAGGTTTTTGCACAATTTTTAAGAAAATCATGTAGGAGAGAGAAAAAATGGGAGAGAAAAAGAAAAGAAAAGAAAAAAAAGGTGATTCTGACAATCTAAAAAAATATATATAGAAAAGCAACGATTTCAGTCATAGTGGGCGCCAGCTGCGTCCCAAAAGCGCAATATGCACCTTTTTTTTTTTTTTTTTTTCTTCGTCTCCTGTAAAATCTTTGTATTTGCAGGAGAAAAATTTATCGAAAACCTTGACTTCTCATCAATTTTGTGCTTGAAAAATAAGTTTTTTTTTTTTTTTTTTTTGGTAATAAATTATGAAAAAAATATTGGTGTGGTTGCTCTAATAATGTTTTACCATGATAGACACGGAAGACAAGATAGGAAAAAGGTGTCAGCAACACTATACTGGCGTCCAAATTTAAGATTAGATTGATTTATATTTTATATCATTATTAAAAAAGAAAATTTGGGGAAGAAAACTTGTTTATATTACGGAGTACTAAAACCAAAGAAAACCCAATCAGTCAAACATGGCGATAGGTACGAAGTAGAAGCCACAGATTTGATGGAAAGTAGGTTTATATATATTTTAAATTTTATAATATGGTTAGCGACGTGGTATGTTCTCGTCCTAGGAAGTATAATAATTATATTAATTAAGTACTACGTACGACGTTAAGGTTTTGATTTAAATATTTGAGCTCGTGTATAATTCACTGAAATTTAAGCGCTAATAATCCAAGAAATGTCACGTCCTACAGTACAGCGCGATTGTCACGCTAATTTTTAGATACAATTTAATCATTCTTCCAAGATACAATTTAATCATCATTATCTCATATGTTGATGATCACAAGGATTCAAGGAATATCATTTTTTTTTTTCTATTTTTTCATCGGGAATAATATTTTCTTTCATAATAATGGTTAATTAATTCTTTTGATGGATCTAAGCATCGACACTGCGCATTTTGATGCTTGACCTGCTGCCCACATAATAACAATAATAATAATAATAATAATAATAATAATAATAATAATAATAAAGAAGGAGAGTTGATTCAATTGTTTGATTTGAAGCAAAAGGCTTTAAATTTGAATGGGAATAATCTATTGATCTTCTCAGTTTAAGACAATTAATTATGGACCTAAGTTAATTTACCAACAGGGCGGGACTATAGATATATTCTCCAAGTCACAAAAAAAATAAAATACAAATAATGACCCCGAATAAAAGAGATTAAATTTTTGATGCCAAGTAGATTTAAAACAAAAATAAAAAATAAAAAATACGAGTAAAAAGGGAGAGTGATTGCCAACTAGCATGCACCCACTCTCATGTGCCCAATAGGTGCGCAAAGAGCACACGTAAACTAAACATGCAAGTGTCTCAAATGGGAGCATTTTTCTTATTTACTCTTTTTGCTTAATTTCCTAACAAAAACTCCCCAACTTCGCATACAAACCCTTCCCTTATCTCTACTCCCTTCTCTTTCTTCCACATCAATCAAAATTCTAAAAGAAAAAAAAAAGATTTGTGATAAAAACAACCATTAACAGTGTGTGTGTGTGTATATATATATATATATAGTTTGGTTCTTCCCAGTGGCGGACCTACAGTGGGGACAGTGGGGGCAGCTGCCCCCACTGACCCCCACCCCCACCCCATATATAACCTTGTATGTATATATGTATATATAGTTCAAGGTTTAGTATAAGTAAAAGAAAACAGCAAATTTTAACAAGAAATAGGTTGGCTCAAATGGTTGAGCACGTGTATTTGCTCTTGGAATGTCAAGGGTTCGAATTTGTGTTATGGCGCATAGTGATGTCAATGCAATTTTTGTGGCTATTTGAATAATAATGGTTACTTGGTGAGGCTTTCAAAAAACAAAATAATGGTTATATATACTTTTATATTAATTAATGAAATACACTTGGTGAGGCTTTCAAAAAACAAAATAATGGTTATATATACTTTTATATTAATAATGAAATGTGTAATTTATAATGTGTTTTGTATTAGAATTATTTTATCAAATTAATTATGTTTCCTATTTTGTTATAAATATTTTATAAAGTTTTGATGTGTTTTATTTTTTGTTCATATTTAACAATATTTATGGTTAACTTCTTAAGTGTTTCATTTTTTTTAAGCCATCTCTTTTGTTTTAATGTTTCGCCACCCCACTGAAAAAAATTTATGAATCTGTCCCTGATTTAGAAGATCTTGATGCTTGACATTTTGTTACAGACTTATAAACGATTTTTATTATTTGAACTTCGCCCCCACTCAACTATTTTTCTGGGTCCGCCACTGGTTCTTCCACATTATTTAGTCCATATTTATTTACTTTTTATTTTTTAAAAAACCAGGAGTAGGGTAATTTTATTAAATAAAACTTAAAAGATACAAAGAGTATTATTTATAGATATTGAATTGAGTCTAAAGTTAAGAAACATTTAGCATCGCATAACAAGTTATAAAAGTTATTGAAATAAATTAGAAACTAAAAGTAGTTGAAGATGTTAAGTAGTTTGTCATGAATTTGTCTGCGGAATAGATATTTAGCTTTTAGAATAAAAGAATGATAATGTTATAAAATTAATTTAAAAAATATAAAATAAATCAATAAACTTATCAAGAATGATTCAACCATATGCAAGTAACCAATCCACACAACAAAAAAATAAAATAAATAAATGAAATAGCTGCAACAATAAACTTATCAAGCACTACTGGAAATTCTGAAATTTCCGACCACCTGAAAATGATCTTAAATTAAGTTGATACCAAAAAATTTAAAAAGTGGTCGGAAATAGCAACAAAGGTTTTTTCGGATACCAAAAGTGGTCGGAACAAGACTTTCAACTTGATTTATGATCACTTTCAGGTGGTCGGAAATTTCAGAATTTCCAGTAGTGAAGAATGATTCAACCATATGCAAGGATATAATTGCATTAATTGCATGCAACATAAGTAGCTACAACAGCCAAGCCAACCGATATAAAGGGCATTAGCAGACAGACATTTTTAACATTGGAGTGATCAAAACTAGTACTTGTAAGAATTAATTTCATTTTTAGTCTTATGTGATAATCTACTTTTAAACTTTTTTATTAGAACATCCTTATTCAGTTATTTGGTCCTAGTATTATTGTGGCATAACTATTTTTAGTCATTCATCAACAAAATCGTCAAAATTTTGCTAAATAGAAAGACATTTTAATCTTTTTTTTATACAAAGTAGGTTGAACCACTATATTTTTTATGTTTATTTTTTTGAAAAAATGTATAATTGAAGACCAAAATACCTTTGTATTTAACGATATTTAAACTGTTTTGTTGATAAAGAATAAAAAATGGTCATGCCATAATAATACTAGGACCAAAAGTGGATGTTCTGATAAAAGAAAAACTTAAAAGTGAACTGCCACCTATAAATCTAGGACAAAAATTGAATTAACTCTACTTATAAGAAAGAAATAAAATTGGGACTGTCGGTAAGTCACTGCTGGAAATTATAGAATTTCCGACAACGTGAAAGTGATTTTAAATCAAGTTGAAAGCAAAAAGTGGTCGGAAATAACAATAAAGGTTTTTCGAGATACCAAAAGTGGTCGGAACAACGCTTTTCACTTGATTTTTTTTTTTTAATTTATAAAGAAGGGTGGGGTGCGCCAGGCCAAAGTAGTAGTGCAACGCAACGGTGACGCTTGAAAGCCCAGGTAGCAAGCTACCTTGATGGGCTTTCCCCCTAAAAAAATTAAGTTAATATCGTGTGGACCATTCCCCTAAAAAAACTTGATTTAAGATCACTTTCAGGTGGTCAAAAATTTCATAATTTCCAGTAGTGAGTGAACAGTTAATATTAAATTTAATTTGGTAAAACATTGTCAGATGTTGTGTGAAAAAAATAATCATGTCATTTAATTTGCACATAACAATTTATACATATTTTTTTAAAAAATATTTATTAGCTAATTGTAAACCAAAGAATTATACCAACTAATTTTTTTAAAAAAAAAAAAAAATCCGCAACATTTATACGTAAAATTGTGTTTAAAAATTTGTGCACATATACCATTGCACTATGAAACAGTCACATATCATTAATTAAACCGTGAAAGGAACATTCTTAAAAATTAAATTAATAAAATAACAATGGCCCCGAAAGGGACGTAGCAATGGCCCCGAAAGGGACGTAAAAGCAAACAGATCATGACTCTTATCTACTATCTACTATACTAATAAGAACCCAAGAGAATTAGGCCTACAATGGGTAGAAAAAATGGCGGTCATAGATTTTAATCAAATGAATGGCTCAGATTGATTAAAAGATTGATAAGATTTAAATTTTACACTAAAATTTCCTAAAATACCCACACACCGTTACTAATTCCGTTAAAATTTTAAGAATTGCCGTTAGTTCACCGTTAACTTACTCATTGATTTCAATAAAAAAAAAAAAAAGGTCTTAGGTTCAAACCTCATCCCAATCAAAGTTGGCATAATTAGTACTCTATTTTACTCTTATTAAATTATAGAAATAATAATTTCTATTTTACTCTTATTAAATTATATAAATAATAATTTTTTTTTGAATGCTACTAGCTCTATTACATTGTAGTATCTGTAACTAGGGGTGTGCAAATTTCGGATAATTTTCGGTTAACCGACCGAACCGACAAAGTTCGGTTAACCGTTTTCGAACCGAACTTTTTCGGTTCGGTTAATGGTTAAAGGAATTTTAAAACTTCGGTTAACGGTTAATTCGGTTCGAAAGGTCGGTTAACCGAATTAACCGAAGTTTTTAATATATATATAAATAATAATATAAATATAAATACTAATTTGAAGTTATGGATGTTTGGAGTTTCTAATTAATGTTTTTGTATATTTTGTTATGAATTTATTATGATATGTATTTTATTTTAATTAGATTTAGTTATTTTTTGAATTTTAAATTTTAGCTTTAAAAAGTTCGGTTAATCGGTTAACCGACCGATTAACCGAAAAAAATTTCGGTTCGGTGAATTCGGTAGAGCAAACTTCGGTTCGGTTAACGGTTAAAGGAAAAAAAACTTCGGTTAATTCGGTTCGGTTAAAACGGTTCGGTTAACCGAACGGTTAACCGATTGAACACCCCTATCTGTAACACCGTTACTAATTCCGTTAAAATTTTAACAATTGCCGTTAGTTCACCGTTAACTTACTCATTGATTTCAATAAAAAAAAAAAAAGTCTTAGGTTCAAACCTCATCCCAATCAAAGTTGTCATAATTAGTACTCTATTTTACTCTTATTAAATTATAGAAATAATAATTTCTATTTTACTCTTATTAAATTATATAAATAATAATTTTTTTTTGAATGCTACTAGCTCTATTACATTGTAGTATCTGTTCATATACTTTCTCAACCTACTGAAACACAGAGAGCTAATAACGCCTCCACTGAGGCTCAAACTTACAACCTTCCAAATGGAAGTCCAACCCGGATACCATTACTCCATTAGACCACATAGTCCTGGTATATAAATAATAATTTAGTAGCTACAACAAAAAAATTATAGATATGCATTTCTTTAATTTAGAATTATGTGTCCACAATGCCTTTATTAAAAAAAAATTATTCATTATCAATAAATTAAATAAGAGAAATAATTGTATTAGTTATATTGTCTTTATTTTTCTACAATATAAAAATTCTTTATATTCAAATTTATTAATTGATTATATTCGCTACATTGTCCTTACAATGTCTTAATTCAGTGAAAAAAAATTATTCATTATCAATAAATTAATTAAAAGAAATATTTTCATTAGTTATATTGTCTTTATTTTTCTCAAATGTAAAAATTTTTACATTCAAATTCATCAATTGATTATATTCACTACATTGTCTATTATCTTTTTTGTGCACTATTTTTCTAATTAAATATCAAAGTTATAATACAAAATAATGCTATATATTTATTTACCAAGTATTTTATTAATACCATGAAAAAATTAAAAAAATATATATAATTAATTAAAGTCAACCATATTAACTACTTGAGAGATTTTGTGACAAAGAGAGTATTCAAATCACACAACAAATTGAAGTGAGAACTACCTTGCAATGTCCTTGTTTGACAATCAGTAGTTAGTGGATTATATTAGCGGATTTGACCAATGCATTTATTTAATTATTAACATTGGGTAAAAAAAATGACCGTCAAATTATTAAATCAAATGAATGGTTCAAATTGTTCAGGTTTTAATTTTTTTTAATGTTTTTCTAATTTATCCTTAATTATATGATTATCCATTTAACTTTTCCGTTAAATACCGTTAATTCACTGTTAGTCTAATTCTAATATTAACGTCTAATATAGAATTATAATTACACCATTAATCTAATTCTAATATTAAAGTCTTAATAGAACTTAACCACAAATCCTAATGTCGAAATCTCCTCAAACAATATTAGTATATATTTAATATTTTATGCCCTAATTTTTATTTGTTCTCCCTTATGTCCCGTATTTGGTTTCAACCATACCTATACAATTATTTTATTGACAATTATAATCAATCTTGACTATATTATCTTGCATTTGTAAACTTAGAATTACCTATTTAACCCGCACGAGCTTAGCTCAATGGTTTAGTGGGCAGTATTTGAGAGAAGAGACCAAGGTTTGGACCTCGGCGGCGGCAGTGCGGGAATTATGTCCAAAGTGGGTAGATTCCTTGTTCGCACCGGCATTTGGTCCTGTCTGCTGAACCATTGAGTCACCGTGATTTACAACTTCCCACAATGCTCTGTCGGGTCGGAGTGTGGGGGGCCCTTGGGGTTGGGGACTCAACCTTTGCGAGAAGAATTACCTATTTAAATACGCAAATTCAACCTTCAATTATCTATGCATGAACAATTTCAATATAATCTTGCCTTAATATACTTTAAAGTACTTATTTAAAAAAAAAAAAAACATTGGGCATTATCCCAATCGCGCAATGCGCGTAAAAAACTAGTATCTAAATAAAGGTCATGAATTTAATTCTTGTCAATATATTCTCGATCGAGTCTATTATGTAGAGTCTTTTTAATTTGGTTTATATCTCTTGTGTATTTTGTGGGAGCTATGCAAGCTATTACACAACCGTCTATCAAAGTTTATCAATGATTGAAAGTTTTAGTAAAAACAAATATGTGGTCAATTTTATAATTATTGTAAATTTTCAAGTTTGCAATATTTATAAAACTAACCCCACTCATTTTCACATTATCTTCTATGTAGTTTGTGGGAGCCATGCAAGCTATTACACAACTGCCTATCAAGCCATTACACCCACTGTCCTGGTTCCATTGTGGTGCGGTCCTCTAGTAGATGACCCCTAGACCCTTAGATGTGGCCCTATTTTCTCCTGGACCGGTGCCTTCTCGCCCAACTGCTTTAGGACAGGCTTGGAACCGCCAGGTCTTCCACCCCGACCCTTCACTTTGAACACTTTAATCCCTTACTTTTGTACGTTGACCTTAACCCTCAGCCCCGGCCTCTTCCTTAGGACTGAGGTCGGCCTCTGCACGCGTTCCTCGTCGTCGTTGGGTTCCCTCTCACATATCACCTCAACCTCGTCTTGGGGTAATAGCGAGGGAACCAGATTTTACACTCTTGCCACTTGGTCGCTTGTCTAGAGGTCCACAGGCGAAGTTGGTGCTCCGAGTCCTTGATGCCCTCTGGCACGATTGTTGTTTAGTTGGTTGCGGAGGTCACATGAGTTTGTCGATCAGGCACATCCATTAACGTTTCCATTGGGGTTGAGGTTGCGAGGACCATGAACGTTGCTTAATCCAAATTGTGTCATTACTTCAGTTTATTTTGAAAAAGATGGATGTACGTGATATCTTACTTGAGAGTTGATCTCAGACTCTCAATGAAAACACCAGTAGACGATAATAATGTCACCGAGTATGCTTGTAAATAACAAAATTGTATTGATTAAGAGTTCATAGTCTGTTTGCAATTTTAGAGTGTGTCTCCCCTACTATCACAGGGGTTCAGGTTTTATAATGAACAATAGTTAATGGTTACAAAGGCACAATGGCCTCCTAATAATAACTAAAAGTCTACAACGGCTCCTCTCAATAAGTTTCATGACTCCTTAGTAATTGAGACGCTCTCATCCGTAAATGCGATGACCCTCCATAACTCTTGCTCTTTGATGATGTGATGCTCTTAATAAGTGCACTCCTGCTCTTTGATGAGGCGGTGCTCTTAATAAGTACATGTGCTCTTACCTTGTTTGCCCGTCTTTACTGCTTTGACAGGTAAGACCAAGAGTGCACTGGGTCGGATCTAATACCTTGTCTAATTATCCTCTCAATATATATATATATATATATATATATATATATATATATATATATATATATATATATATATATATATATATATATATATATATATATATATATATATATATATATATATATATATATATATATATATGCGCTTAATGTGCGTGAGTTTTGTACTTAATGTGCCTGAGTATTGTGCTTAATGTGCGTGACTTGAGTTCGGAATTACGAACTCAGAAGGAAGCAGAACAGAAAGAGAAGGTGGGTGAAGCTTTTCTGATTGTGTGTGAATGGATGGATATATGTAAACGCACATATGGCTGTTCTGATTTTATGTTTTATCTGTACAGGAGCGAGAGAATGCTAATGAGAGCGAAAATGTTTCAATCTATGAAAGCATAAAAGACATTGTGAATGAGGCTGAAACAAAGGAGACTGG